AGTGAGTTCTTTATGTAAATGCCAAGCCCTCTCGTAGAGGGATTAGCAATATTTGGTCTGTCATAGTATATGTATCCCGCAGTTTTTGCATAAAGAACACTAGTTCTGAAGGCAACTCACATCATTTTCGGAGTGAGGGTACTGGGAGAGAGTTGCCTTGCATATGTGTAAACTGTTTAAGTTCCAGGAATACATTGCAAGAGAGTACTTGGAGACATTGAATACTTGACCATTTCCAAGACCTACTACAGGGTGATGCTGTTGTTGATCGAGGAGGAACGTGGACATCCTTTCCTGAAGTTGAGATTGTTGAGCCATTTGTTGCTGCATCATGATCATCTTCTGCTCCACCTGCCGAAGTAGCATTTGTAGCAGATCCTTTATTTCTCCGCTGGACTCCTGTTTGTCCTGCTGCAGTGAGGGCTGAGCGCCAGCCTGTGCTGCAACTGATGCTGAAGCTGGTGCAGCAGATGGTGCTAGCGCTGATGCTGCAGCTGGTGTTGAAACCGTTGCTGGTGCTTAAATTGGCTGAGCTTCGACTCCTGCTGGTGCTGTGGCCGGTGCCATGGCTTCCTTTGCAGGGCCATCACTGTTGACCTCTGCAGGTGTGGGAGTTCCCCCACCTCATCAAAGTGCGGTGGGGGGGGGGGGGGGGGGGAAGCTGCCTGCTTGTGTTACTATTTGTTTTCCTGTCCTTTGGGTAAGAAGCACGCAATGGTGAATTGGCATTATGCTCTTGTCGGCAGTTCACGCATTTCCGAGGGACATTTTTCCTTCGGAAATCTTTTCTGCACATTCCGAACTTCCGCGTGGAAGAGCGCAGTGCCGGCTTCGTGATGCGTCTCGCGGACAAGCACGTGCTCCGTGGCCCCGCTTTGAGCCATTGAGCAGCACGGGGTCAGGGCCTTGTAGACGGCACACCTGAAGGGTGCCATGCCCTCAGCCCTCGTGATACTTTCGGGGATGACCTCCCCTCGCAAATAATGACTCTCTGGGCCATCATTCTGTTAACCTTCATGCGTCTCGCAAGAATGATCCGCTCATGGTATGCGCTCTTATCTCCCGCTTCCCTTGAGACTTCGACCACAATGACGTTCGCACATTTTCCCTTCAAGCACTTCACCACATGCGCCTGTAGTTGTTATATGAGCAAGAATTTGTTCGTTCTTGCATCTGACATAAACGTTATTTCTCCTAATTTTCAGCTATTGATCCGCGTGTCTGATTGTAAGGGCCCATTTTTAGGGCCTGAGAGACCCAGCGATACTTATCCCCGTGTGCAAAGCTTTGTATCGTTCCTAAAGCGCGCGCACAGGTGTTCGGGAGGCGTAACTTCCGTTTGTTTGTTCATGGCCATCGTCCCGTCAGCGGGCGCGGTCATTCCCCGACCAAGAGGGGCCGACCTAAGTGCCTGTCCTTTGAAAATAAACAGTTACACCTACGGGTCGCCTGTGGTGCCTCGAAGCACATTTGGGAGTGTGCACATCATCATACACTGGATCAATATACAACTGGCAGGTCTGTGAATTCTTGATTGCCAAGGTTTCACAGACCCTTTAAGGACAGGTCACAAGGCCACGAGAGGACACTATACACGTCCTTGCACTGTGGTGTCGAGACGTTAACTCTCTGTGTGTGTGTGTGTGTGTGTGTGTGTGTGTGTGTGTGTGTGTGTGTGTGTGTGTGTGTGTGTGTGTGTGTGTGTGTGTGTGTGTGTGTTTGTTTTCCATAAAAAGGAGACTGAATATCTTCACAGTACAAGAGACGTATTTGGCTTGGTTCGATTATATCTTCGTCAGATATAGATACATCTGAGAAACTACAGAGCATATATATCATACATAAGCTTACGAAACACCTAACGACTGTGACCTCCCACTCGTTATCCGCGTAATTGCTACCGCGACCTTGGATAATTTGAATCTGCCCGGTGCTGTGTGTTGTTTTCTCCGTCGCGATGTATACAGCTTCCATATTTTTTATCTATTGTTTGTTAAATTCTTCATGGATTACTTCTGCTTCCTTCCAGTTCGGCAGATGTCCAGCTTCATCTACATGTACCACCATGACGTTGGAAGTCCTGTGGTGACGGACGTCAGCTTGGTGTTCGTTGAAACTGGTGTTGAAACTGCGGCCCGTTTCACCAAAATATGCTGTATCGCATCTGCTGCAGGGTATGTAATATGCGACACTGTTAGGGTTGCTTTCTGCTTCGTATTATGTCATGTACCTTGTTTCTGGATATGGTGATTTTCATAGTATTGCCAAAGTATCTGCTGATCGCCTGGGAAATGCTACATGGCGGGAATAGGAGAATCTCCACCTTCTTTCTGAGGTTTAAGAGCAAGCCTCTGGGATATTTGTGTTTCATGAAAGAATTAATTATATAGGCAACCTTATCCTCAAGAAATTCAGGGCTGCGGATCCCCAGTGCTCTGAGGAAGAAGCCAATTGCAACACCAAATTTTGTTTTATTGCTGTGGACGGAGTAGTAAAGGATCTAATCATCTTTATTCGTAGGCTTTCTAATCCTCTTCCCCCACGGTCAACTGGATTTTCTCGTGGACGAGTTAAGCCGCGTGGATGTAAGCACGATCTTCTGGGGACAATAACGTGGACATCATCTACGTAACGAAGCCAAGTAGAATGTCTGCCGATTATGTCCTTGTATTTATCCCCCTCCAGTGTCTACATGAACAGGTACGCTATGACTGCACTCTGGACGGAGCCCATGGCAAGACCACTAATCCGCTGGTATTCTTCCCCAACAAAATCGAAGTAGCCGAAGTCCACGCACAACTTCACTAGACTTACGAAGTGATGTTTGGGCAGCGGAGGTTCAGCATCTGTCATGGAGCTAGTGACCCTGTCGACTGCTCGGACTGCTCCGTCTGTGGGTACACTGGAGAAGAAGGAATTAAACGTCAAAACTGGCAAGCTTTTTCTTTTTGCGCCCGGAACTCTGAAGACGTCTGATGAGATCTCCGGAATTCTTCAGGTGGGAATCACTCATGATCCCCACAACACGGGTTCAGCCACTTAGCCAGTCGATGGGGAGAGCTGCCAATACCAGAGGTGGTCGGTCTCATCGGTATGCCTGGCTTGTGTACTTTCGGGAGGCCTCTTATGGTCGGGGTGCGGGAGGCCTCCTCCAGCAAGTGAAGTAGGCGTTTACCTCCAGCTGAACGCAGGAGTAAATCCCTCGCCTTCTTGAACCTGGTCGCCTTTCATTGCTTTCCTGTAAACAGAAGCATCGGACATTAAGCTGTTCATTTTATTTACGTAATCATTTCTTTCCATAACCACAATACCCCACCTTTATCAGCCTGGGTGATGACGATGGTCCCGTCGTTGTCGACGTCACTGTCGGTCCAGCGGTGGTTTCAGATAACGTAGTCGGCGCTAACTTCCCCTACATCTGCGTTTGACTTCTCAAAGGGATATGTCGTTTTCTCGGGCTCAAGCCAGCAGGTAGAGCGCATTTTTACGACTGTCGCGGCGATGAATTGAACTCGGGACCACGAGGATCGGTGCCCAGTGGTGGTAAGGGAGGGTTGTTATATAACTATTTCAATCCGGTATTGCATTATTCCATCTTCGATATATGTGTGTGTGTGTGTGTGTGTGTGTGTGTGTGTGTGTGTGTGTGTGTGTGTGTGTGTGTGTGTGTGTGTGTGTGTGTGTGTGTGTGTGCGGGTCCGTATCATGAGCAGGCCTTCACCACTGAATGAGCCGATTGTGACCACTCCCTTTAAAATAATACTTAAACTTATCAAAGTGAAATAAGCAAACGAACGAACATAATATGTGCAAAGGGCCTTAAAATATCTCGGGAGGGCATTAAGGGATGTCAACTCAGAGCCGAGGAACTGGAGGCATAGGTGAAACAAACACACGTAAAATAAATAAAATAACAAATCTTCCTTTATTTATAGGAAGCTACATGATATCCCATGGCCTTCCGGATTAATCACCGGTTAAAAGAGCTAGCCATGAAAATGCATAAATCCCCGAATACTTCTCGTAGAGCAATACAAAATAGGCACTCTCAGTTCCTCTCGCCACAACCAACTGGCCGAGAGGCGGGAATTCGTGGGTCCTCAATCATATTCAAACATTATATCTATTTCTTATGGTCATTGGTTTTACTATATATATATATATGTATATATATATATATATATATATATATATATATATATATATATATACAGGGAGATTCTTTGACAATATCATAAATATAGATATTTTTGCTATAAATTGCTGAAGCAATGGTTTAAAATGTATCGGAAAAAATATATCTCGATAGGTGGCACCCGTTCTCACAACGAAAACGACGCCAGGGGGGGTATAACTAGAAACTAGTTATACTAGAGACACACACACACACACACACACACACACACACACACACACACACACACACACACACACACACACACACACACACACACACACACACACACATTATATATATATATATATATATATATATATATATATATATATATATATATATATTATATATATATACATATATAAGTTATATATATATATATGTTTGTATGTATTTAACCTCAATAGTTTTATATAATGACATATATACTTTATTGTTACGAGCTTTGAAACAAATTTAAATTTTGGTCCCCAATACTGTCAAGAAAATATTGTCAAAATATTGGATTTAAATATATTCCACCAAAAATTTATTATAAAAAAAGTTTAACAATTTATAAGGGGGGGGAGGGTAAGTTTCTTTGGGGATATCTCAAAAAAAAAAAAAAAAAAAAAAAAAAAAAAAAGGTAAAAAGAAGTATTGTTCTTCTAGGCATATATATAAAATTACTTGTCATTTTTTACCATCTAATTTCTTCATTATAATATAAAAAAAAATAAGAACATTCTATTGAAGGAGAAAAATGCTTGTAAGTCTGAGTGTCTGTGCACACAACCCAAAAAAACATATTCTCGGAAACTTTGGATAAAAAAGAAAAGAAAACTACAAGAAATAGATTTATTTACACTTCTAGCTATCTGTGAATCAAAACACCTAAATAACAAAATATAAGAAATACATTTTATAGCAATTACTTATACACAAACTAAGAAGGAATGAAACCTCCGCTAAATGAAGAACGCGACTTGCATTAAGCTTTCCCGTCACAATCACTCATGACGAATTCCTGATATCCTTCCTTGTCAGGCATGACCATGGCAACTAAACGCTCTGTGACGCGTTGGCATTCAGCAACATTCACCTATAATTAGAATGAAAAGAGGAGACATTATCTATTTGACAAGAAACCGTATTTTTACTTGTCATACACTAAAGGCAACCATCTAGTGTAAGGGCTATGGTAATTAGCTGGTAACAGATGGCCTTGGTTCTGTCAAGGTAAGCTGCTGCTCTGCAATTTCTCGCAACATTTAGCACATAAGGGGATATAGCATTTGTTTAGCAGCCAAGCAAATGGGGGATCCTTTCAGGTGGTATCTAGTGACATGTAGTATAGTTATTCATGTTTATCAATTTATGCACTTTATTTTTTTTTTAACTATCACAATGAAAATAGAGACTGAACTTGAACTTGCACAGGAGAGAAATAAAAGACATTAAAACTTTCCTACCTTATGTAGAGCTTCCTTGTGAATGTCACGAGTTAATGCCTTCGAATACACAAGGGACTTCAGAGGCAACTTAGCCATTGCCTGTAATCTCTGTTGCACTTCTTGCTGAAATGTTGCCTCTGGGAAGACTTCAGTTACTAGACCAACCTTGTAAGCTTCTGCAGCTGAAAACTGTCCACAACAAAATATATGAAAAATAATACAATCATATTTTCCCTATTTTCTCTACAAATCTATTAATAATTACTAGGAAAAAAAAATATAGTGTCTGGCTATCCAACTTTAAAAATGAGCATGTCTTTATATATATATATACCTATGTAGAAAAGGTATGAATGAGAATGAGTATCTTCACAATACAAGAGATGTATTTGACCGGTTTCGACTTATATCTTCGTCAGAAATACATGTATTTCTGACGAAGATATAATTCGAAACCGGTCAAATACATCTCTTGTATTGTGAAGATACTCATTCTCATTCATACCTTTTCTACATTCGTCGACATGAATACGGTTCATATATACCTATATCAAAATCCACTAAAACATTCTACTACAGAAACCTCTTACTTCTCTTCTTTACCTTTTTGTTAAACAACAACATTTCCGTAGCTTGTCCTGGACCCATAAGCTTTGGGAAGGTGTAAGTAGAGCAGCCTTCCGCAGTGATGCCCAGCGCGGAGAAGGGGGTGAAAAAGACAGCCTGCGGAAATTAATGCCATTTTGACAACCTTCTATGACAGAATCTGTGATTTGATTTTTGTTTTGGATAGACATTACAGAAAGCTTTGTTACTAAATCAACCTGGAATTTCGGAAGTTGAAATATTTTTGTTGATTCTTATACTTGATGTAAGTGCTAATGCTGTAATATATTATCATTTAGTTATTTAAATGTATATTCATTTGTCAACTTTCTCTTTTTCCAGACTCTTAGATTTGTCTGATGATATGATCTAGAATAATAAAAATAAGTTTTTCTAATAACGGTGAGTTCTATAATTACCCTTTCCGTGGCATAAACAGCATCGTAAAGTGGCAGCAAGCTCGTGCCTGCACCAACAGCTGCTCCATTGACCACAGCCACAAGAGGCTTTGGAAAATCAACAAACGCTCCCATATGTCTGCAATTCAAGAAAATCATCAATTTTTTTTGTGTCTTGGATCTTATGCCAATAAAATATCTAAATAAAGTTTTACTTCACTAATTTTTTTTTCTTTTTTTTTTTTTTCTTCTTATATATCATTACATGTAGAACGATATTGCATATGAGTGCTAAAAAAAAACAAATTAACCTGATGAGTAGATCCCTTATTTGAGCCATGGTCAAAGTGCGGAAGTTACTCTGATCGTTCCCTGCCGTGAACACATTTCCAGAACCTGTTGTTGCTGTGATGATGGTGTTGGGATCATCTGCAGCCTCTTGCAAGGCATCAACAATTTCTTCAAACAGCTGTATGGATAAGTTGTAAAGAATAGAGAGACTGAGTCTGGATTGAACAAAATTCCTCAATTACTAAAACATACTTTCTGAAAATCACTTATATGTTGTTGTTTTTAGGTACATGGCTCACATGTGAAAATCATCGTCTTTAACGCATTGTCGCCGGGGGAAAATGAACAAAAAATGGGGGAAATACAGTATTCATTTTTTATATTTTTGTGAAATATGTCTGTCCATAGATGGCTCTGCTAGTCCTGATTTCACCTGTCCTTGAATTTGCGGGAATTAAACGTATTCTTACTAGTGCTATAAACATAGATGGTGTTATTTTTAACAGCAAATTTGGATAATGTTCAATATTTTCGTAAATCGATGAAAAGGGTGAACAGGCAAGACAGGCAGTACTCGTAATTGGCTCATTGGATA